TTCCTGCTTTAAAATTTTTAAGTATTTTACAACTCTACGCTGCTTTTAAAACTGCTACTCTAAACATAAATTTGTATTTCACATTAGCAAGACACAAGTACATTATTTAATTCACATCATACAGTTTAACTTGCAAATATGCTCAAAATGATTGTTTCTCTGTTCATCTAGAAATATTTTTAGTCAATTTGCATTTAACGGAGTGTTATATAGATATCTATTAGATCTAGTTGGTTGACAGTTTAGTTCTTTTATACTCTACTACTTGTTATTATTGAACAGGTGTTCGTATTTTAGCTATAACTGTGAATTTGTCTATTTCTCCTTTCAGTTATGTCAGTCTTTGCTTCTGTATTTTGAAGGTCTGTTGTTTTTCTTTTATTTTTATTCATGGAAAGGCATCTTATTTTAAATATGGCAGTGTGTACATGTTAATCCCAAACTCCCAATCTATCCCTCTCCACAACCCTTCCCCCCACCCCCCCACCTGGGTAAACGTAAGTTCATAAGTTCGTGTCTCTAAGTCTGTGAGTCTGTTTCTGTTTTGTAAATAAGTTCATTTGTATCATATTTTTTCGATTCTGCATATAAGCAATATTGTATGCTATCTGTCTTTCTCTGACTTACTTCACTTAGTATGATAATCTCCAGGTCCATCCATGTTGCTGCAAATGGCATTATTTCATTCTTTTTAATGGCTGAGTAATATTCCATTGTATATATGCATCACATCTTCTTTATCCATTCATCTGTCAATGGACATTTAGGTTGCTTCCACGTCTTGGCTATTGTAAACAGTGCTGCACTGAACACTGCAGTGCATGTCTCCTTTCAAACCATGCTTTTCTCCGGATATATATGCTAAAGTGGGATTGCTGAATCATATGGTAGCTCTATTTTTAGTTTTTTAAGAAACCTCCATACTGTTCTCCATAGTGGCTGTACCAATTTACATTCCCACCAACAGTGTAAGAGGGTTCCCTTTTCTCCACACCCTCTCCAGCATTTATTGTTTGCAGATTTTTTGATGATGGCCATTCTGACTGGTGTGAGGTGATATCTCACTGTAGTTTTGATTTGCATTTCTCTAATAATTAGTGATGTTGAGCATATTTTCATGTGCCTCTTGGCCATCTGTATGTCTTATTTGGAGAAATGTCTCTTTAGGTCTTCTGCCCATTTTTTGATTGGGTTGTTTGTTGTTTTGATATTGAGCTGCATGAGCTGTTTGTAAATTTTGGAGACTAATTTCTTGTCAGTTGCATTGTTTGCAAATATTTTCTCCCATTCTGTGGATTGTCTTTTTGTTTTCTTTATGATTTCCTTTGCTGTGCAAAAGCTTTTGAGTTTAATTAGGTCTCATTTCTTTTTTGTTTTTTGTTTTTTTTCCATTACTCTCGGAGACAGAAAAAGATATTGCTGCGATTTATGTCAAAGAGTGTTCTACCTATGTTTTCCTCTTAGAATTTTATAGTATATGGTCTTACATCTAGGTCTTTAGTCCATTTTGAGTGTATTTTTGTGTATGGTTTTAAAGAATGTTCTAATTTCATTTTTTTACGTGTAGCTGTCCCTTTCACCCAGCACCATTTATTGAAAGACTGTCTTTCCTCCATTTTAGTCTTCCCACCTTTGTCATATATTAATTGGCCGTAGGTGCATGGGTTTATTTCTGGGCTTTCTATCCCGTTCCATTGATATTTATTTCTGTTTTTGTGCCAGCACCGAACTACTGTTTTTTGTATACATGTCACAGTTAAAACAGTTCTCTTCTTGCTGTTTAAATCCATTCTGACAATCTCTATTTTGTAGTTGGTTTGTTTAGACCATTTACATCTAATGTAATAATTAATATGTTTGTACTTAGGTCTAGGATTTTATTGTTTCCTGTTTGTTTCCTCTGCTACTTGTTCTGTTTCCTCTTTCCCGCACTGTTTAGATTTAAACATTTTCTTAGCGTGACATTTTAATTTATCAATTGTGATTTTTGACTATATCTCCTCATGTAAATTTTTGGTGGTTGATCTAGGGGTTACAATACGCAGAGTTAACCTTTTATCCTTTACTTGGAATCAATAATTCAGCACTCCAATTGGATTAGAAAAACCAAACCACAAGCATTTGTTTGCTATTGCTGTTATGATTTTTAAAAAACCCACAAACTTAGTGGTTTATTGAGATAAATTTATTACTTTTCCATTCTGGATGTCAGAAGTCCAATACACATTTCATCAAGCTAAAATCAAGGTGTTGACAAAGCTGCATAATTTCCTGGAAGCTCTGGAGGAAAATCTGTGTCTTGGTCATTCCACAAAAAATGGTCCTCATTTTCTTGCTGGCTATCAGCTGAAGGCCAATTGCAACTTCTGCAGGCTGCTAAGTGCCTTGGCTCTCTTCTTCACCTTTAAAGACAGAAACTGCCATGAAAGTC